ATCTTGAACTGCCCAGGCAATGATTAGAGGACAGAAAAGAAACACTTTGCTCCAGCTAAGAAATTCAGAACAGGAGCAGAATTTCTCCCCAGAACAATGACAACTACAGTATTACATAATTCTTATGACCTGGCTTCAAATTTATGCTTTACATATCCCCTTCTCCTGGCAAGGCAGACCAAGTCACCAGCACTCTGTTACAAGAATATAGTCAGCTCTAGGAGCAGGAGGCTGGGCAAGGGATTACACACAATGTCACAGCACAAGGGTCACTGTGGACCTGAGAACTGCGTGATCCTGCAGGATCCTACAGGATCTTTTAGTGCCCTTGCAGAGCAGATGGGCCATGGGCATTTAAGGTCTCAACACACAGAGCAACAGTGTGTAATACTCAGACTGGGTTAGCCTGAAACAATTCTTTATCTTTCTAGGACTCCCACCTGTGTTACAGGATGCAGGTACATGAATCCTGAAATTAGACTCTCAGTTGCTTTCCCAATTTGATTAAAAGTAGCAACTATGAATTTCCATTTGCAAAGAGCAATTAGTATTCTCATCAGATGTAGAAGAAGAGCCACAAACAAATCAAAGCCCTGGGATGTGCAATGGCAGAGCTGCTGCTGGAATGACCCACCAACTCTCATTGCTGCAAGAACAGCCAAAGAGAGGTTAAACCCTGAACTTCACAAGGGAAATAACATGGGGAAAAACATCTATAAGTTAAATATTGGCCATGCTGAAGTTTTGTGGCTCTGGGAAAGACTGAGCCAGATAAGCAGCAATTACATTTAAAAAGTTAATGTCAATGGCATCCTTGAAAACGGTTTTGGGAAAAATGGTGCAGCAAGCTCTTAAAAATTCTGTTGCCCAGAGCGTCAACATCTTCCAAACAGCTGTTGATACACAAGGCAGTACTCTGGCACAGATTCAGCCACAGCACGGGGAAGACCTGGGTTTTGCTTTTAGAGCATTTATGGGACTTTCAGAGCTCCTGGGGAATAGCCTGCATGGAGTTAGAAAGTAGATGATGCAAAATGCCTAAAAACATCTTAACAAGATGACAAGGTACATGATGTGGATAACACCTCCCTGTTCCAGGGAGGACAGCGCATCCTGCCTGGACAGGGCCCTGGAAAAGCCACTCACCAGCTGCCGCTGTTTCGGTGGGAGAGCAGGAGGAGGTGCCAGGTCTTGGGAGGGGTCCAAGCTGATAAAGGAGTCATTGAACCCATAGACTTCCATGAGGTGCTTGTTCTTCTGCTGGTAGATGTGCTCGTTCTGAGGTGTCTGGTAGAACATGGATGGCTGGGGCTCTGAGTAGTCTTCCACGAACTGCATATATGCCATCACTGTAACACACAAGAGGAGAGCTCACTCGCCCATTCCCAAAATGACCAAACCAAAGGCCACGCCACCCTTCTTGCCATGCTTTGCTCCAGGCCTGGAGCAGGAAGGCACCCCCGCTCTGCTCACAGGTAATTCCCACACTAAGTCTCCATCCATCTTGGAGGAGAATCTACAAATATCCCTTCCTGCAAGCCAGGGCACAATGAAAATAATCACAGACCACAAGCAGACATTTGGCAACAGCTCTGCTTAAACTAGCAAGGTCTCCAAAAGCTTTTTGAGCAGCTTGATCCACTGACTCTTAGCCCAAATCCCTTCCTCACAATAACCCAGGGCAATTTTGAAAATGTTCCTCACCAGCTAATGCCCAAAGCCTCCCATCAAAAGAAATCCTGTACCTTCTCTCTGCTTTCTAGGAAGCACAAATTACCTTACACAAAGATGCAACCTTGACAACAAATAATAGTTCTTGAGCCTATAATAAGTCTCATATCTGCAGTCAGCAGGATTGCTAGAACAAGAGGATTTACCATCTTTTCCTTATCAGAAAACACCTACCTGTGAGACTGAGCACCTCTCCCACAGCTTTTAGACGCCACTGTCAAAGCTGGCACGTGAGCGTGGCCGTTCAAAAGCTGCTCTGACCATGCTGTCCTACTTCACTGACACAAACCCAACTGCAGCTAAACACCCCTTTTAAACCCTCTCTGCATCTCTGATTCTGCAATTGAATCCAACTTACTCAAAGACAATTCTGTAACTGACCCAGTGTCACAGGAAGACTACAAAGCCCCAGAGTGATTAAAGATCAGAAATGCAACTAATAAATACAAAATAAACAAATAAGTCCTATCTATATACCTGAAAACAGAAGCAAGAGATGTATTAAAGTGTTGCAAATGGGACTAACTAGGGCTTTTTTGTAAATAGGCTGTCAGGCACCAGGTATTCTGTGATCATCCCTGCCGTTCCTCTTGTTAAACACACGCTTGTCAGGTTTTGTAAATCTGGTCATTAGGTGGCAATTGTTCAGCTCCAGTTGCACATTTCAGCTGAAACGAATGGATGGCTTCGGGGAGGGCTATAAATAAGTGCTCCCAAGGCAGCGTTTGCGCGTCGCGAAGCTGCTTCCCGCGTTCCGAGCGCTCCGTCCACCTGCCAGAGAGGAGCTGCAGCCCAAACAGGATGCAGCCGTCGGCAGGAAGGAGCTGCTCAGCACCTGTCTTTGGGACCTTTTTTATTCCCTATTTCCTCTAATATTTTCAAGTCCATGCAGAAATGGAGCTTGCACAGCTGTCCCTTCCCACAGAATCACATCTCTCCTTCAAAAAATAGATATTTTTTCTTTTTTTTTTAAGGAGAAAAAAAAAGAGAAATGTCCACGGCAATGAGACCGCAGGAAACTCAGCTGATATATTGCAGTCCCAAGTGGTAACACCTGCTCTTCCCATCCTGTGATCCCGCATGGTTGCCACTGGGCAACCTGTCCACATCTCGCTGCACTGTCGGTTCCTGCTGGAATTCTGACCTTCAGTCCCCCTGCTAGGTGAGCCTGACACTGAACCCCGAAAAATGCCTTGATATCACAGAATATCTCTCGAGGAGACATCTCTTTTGCAGCAAAAGTGAACTAAGGATCAAGACTCCTTGGAGATGCATGGAGGACAAGGGTTTGAGATCACAGCCCGAGATCACATCATTTGAGCAGGACAGAAGCCAAGAAATGGGGCTGGAAATGTTGGCACTGTGCAGGACACTGGGAAATTCAGACCAACTCTGCACATGGAGTTACCTGCAAAAACAGCGCTACAGGTGATGTTCAGAGGTTAAGATGATGTCCAGGATCAATATCCACGAGCATAAGACTACACAGAAGACTATACAACACTATAAACTTGGGAAGTGTTGGTGAAAAGGGTAACACATTAGACGCTTGGGTAAAATTAAATTACTGCAACTCCAAGTAGTAAGTCTGAACGGTGCTGAGAGCCTTCACTCAATCTGCAAGGGAGTAATGAGGAGCTCTTTCATCTGAGCTCCTCGTGACGCTAATGCATCCCATTGCCATGGCAGCTCCTTGCCTCGCTTGTCAGAACTAGTCCAGGGCAGGTGAGCACTTCTCTGCTTCTGCTTTGTGCTCCTCTGTGTTTTCAGGCTAAGTGAAAAACGTCTGGGATGGTGAAACACAATCCTGCCTCAGAAAGAAAGACTGCAGAGCACAGATTAAAAAGGGCATCACGGAAACACTCCCAGTCTCGAGCAGGAGAGCAAGGAGACAGAAGCCCTGCTGCGAGTGCAGTTTGCACGGGGGTTTTCTCTCCATCCCCTCCCCGAAGTGCCGTGTTTTTGAGAGAGGCAGAAATTCCAGAAGCAGATGGGAAATTACATCAGCGGAGGCTGCCCGCCCTGCAGCGGCTCCGCGCGCGGCGGAAGGACGAGGGCCGCAACCTCCGCGCGAGCAGCCCGGGTGGCAGCGCCCCGGGAGGGAAGGGAGGAGAGGGACCTCTCCCGCCACGGCATCGTGCCCGGCTTCTGGCAGCACTGAAACAAGGCAGGAAATATTTGGGGGAAAAAAAGGCCTCAGACTGTGGCCAGGAACGTCATCCCAGCAACCTGCTTGCAGGGTCTTGGCTGTCGTTTCTAGAGGAGCTAAAGTTGTTTGGGGGTTTCTGTGTCACAGCAGCTAAGCCCACGTGCTGCAAGAGAAGTGAGGCAGTGGCTAGTGAGTTCTGCAGCCAGGGAGAGGGGAGACAGGCACCAAGGAAGGACTTGCCAGGAGAAGCCACCCTTGGAGCAGCTGGGACTGCAGGGAGCTCCTGGAAGCCTCCTGGCCACCCGCACCATGAGCAGGACATGAGGAGACCTCCCCGACTCCTGACACGGTGTCAGCAACCTGGGTTACATCTGCCCCTGCCCAGGGCCAACGGGCTCGCATGGATGGCCAAGAGCCCAACCATGGCAATTACCAAGGTGTCCCACGTGCCAGCTTGCTGAAAAAGACATGGTCAAATCAGCCAGTCCTTGCTGTCACCTCCAGGCTGAGAGCTCTTCTTCCAAAGAGCTCCTATTAAACCCTGGCTAAGCCCAGCCTGCCTCAGCACGGGTCCTCCAGCCCATACCGGCTGCTCTGGGGACACCGGGCTGCATTTTGTCCCTCTCTCAGTGCCAGGAGCACGAGGAAACGCCTCGCCGCTGGTTTGCAAGCTGTCTCGGGAGAGGATCCTCTTTTCAGGCCGTGGGCTCTTTGCGGCAGAATCTGTTCCACGTCTGTGTCTTGTAGAGCAGGAGCTTGACACTGGCGCTCAAGTAGAAGTCTGGAACAATTTGCCATTAGCACAGTAACATGCACCCTCACAGCGCTGTAAAATAATAATTCGTGCCAGACTAGACGGTTTTATCACTTCCCTGTTTGAATTATACAGAAGATGACTCTTGGAGGTCCCTCTGAGCACAGCTCCTGGTAATACACACGCTTAACTCAGGCAGAATTTGATGTATATTATTAATAAGAGCACCGTGTAAGTCTCCACTGCAGCACTTCCTGCTAACCAGCCAACTACCAAGTGATGGCCCACAACAAAGGCACCGCACTTAAGTCGTATCTGTGAGAGCTCTAGATATTTTAAATAACTTCATGCTTGCACGCAGGATCCCAGGATTTTGTCACGGTCACAGAAGGAGGGAGATGGAAGCAAGTGCCTCATCTGCGTGATCACACAGGATATCTATATGCATCGGTTTCTAGGCCAAAACCAAAAAACCTTGGGTGCTGCCGTGCCGCCTTTACTGCCCTTCTCAAGCTGAAAATAAAAGCAAAACTAACAACCACAGATCTGCGGTGTGATACTCTGCGGAGTAAGGACAAACTAAAACAAGTTTGTAGTGTCACATGAACACAACTAAAAAGCCTGCAGCAGTCAGGTATTAGCCCAACTACTACTACAAGCTTTGCACCAAAGACACTTTATCAAATCATGAGCACTGACCACGCGTTAGAGGACGGCCTCCACCCTGCAATGGTGCAATCCAGTCACTGCTCATGGAGCTTTGGATGGTGCTGGCTGACAGACGACAGGTAGTTCTGTTTTAACATCAAAAAAAATTCACATGCAATACCTGCCTGTTGGGGGTTACAACTGCAGACAGGCAATAAAGGAGGAGACCACTTAAAATTGTGTTTAAGTTACCTCCTTGACTCCATAAAACATCTCATCTGCACCGAATCCCCCTTCAGCTAGTGCTGCACCCAACAGGAGTCACAACAAGCAACCCTCGCTGTGGACTGCACCATCTTTATGGTCTCTCTGTTGTCTACAAACCAGCATCTTAGCTCCTTGCTATTTGCTTTAATTGCCTCTTCATTATTTGCTTGTTTTATTTACCAGAGAGAGAGAAAAGTGATTTCCTGCATATTGGGACTCTGAACGCTTTCAGATCGCTCGGGCCTTGCGGTCTGATTAAAATTCTGGAGAGTTACAATTGTGGTCTGGCCACCAAGGCAGGGTATTCGCTAGTGGAAATGCTTTCAGTCAATGCCCTTTTTAAAAAGTGAATGGCACAGGAAATTACCAGAGGAATAGGCAGAATACTGGCTTGGAGGCATGACACACCAATCTCACTTCCAGCTTTCTCCCGACGACAAACTGCAAAAATGAGTCACGAGGCCAACTCAGCACTTTTTAAATGAGCTCTTCACTTGGGCTGCAAGCCATACAATTTAACGCCGTCGATCCAGATCTTGTATATGCTACCTCCTCGTGCACTGCACAACTGTAAAATTTGCCAGTGTCTGCTAAATTAACATTTGTTGGATCCCACCACATAGTCCACTGCCTTCCTTGTCAGATCAGTATGACTGCTTTTTTGGCAAGAGCATTCCCGTATTTTAAGGCATGAACATTAAGGAAATCAGAGTAAGATCATGAGCTCGAGTCGCTCTGCTGTGCCAGGAGTCTGGCTGCGGATGGAGAGTCTTTGCATTTAGAGGCTGCTCATTTTAATGATGTGGGAAATTCTTAGGCATAGAGCGGAAATGAGATCCCATAGCAAAACAGCAGTATCGGACACTAGGCTAACAGTGTTGTCTTGCACAACCGTGTGGGTGACTTTGTTCCAACTGCCAAATAACTGCACTGGCAACGCTCAGTTTTGGACAGAAAAAAACAGCCCTTTCTCTGAGCTCTTGGAAAGCACTCAAGTTTTTCCTGCAGTGGGAAAACATTCATAAAACAGGGGCAGGGGGAAGCAACAGCATAAAAAAAGGAGGACAAACCAGGAAGATTTGGAAGGCAGAGCACCTAAGTTTCACACTCAGGCAAAGCAAAGCAAACTGTTCTCATACAGTGATGAAGATGCTGCACATTGCCCTGGGCCTGGACCATTCCAGCCTCCCAAAGTCACTCACTGCCCAGCCGACTGACACTCCCCTTCCACGTTTTTGACAGTGGCTGTGAGTGATTTTCGATCCCAAGTAAGCAAGGACGTTACCTGGGGGTCACTGGTGCTTAGTGGCAATCAGAAACACAACAATTGCAAGAGAAAGAAGGGTTAAAAAAAAAGAATCCCAGACTCCCAAACAGAACACCAACACGAGCACTTGCTTACTGTTTTTGTTTTTCTTCTCTGGCAGAGGTGGTGGCTTCTCTGGGTCACTGGTAGAATCTGGAGCAGCAAAGTTAGTAATGAATTCAGCTGGTGCTGAAGAGTTTCCTTGCTGAAAGGGCAAAACAGCAGCGAACGGTGTGAAGGGCACTGACAGGACAGACCCTGCGTTCTGCAAATCGTCTTCCGAGATGTTATCGTACTGCGAGGGGTGCCTCTCATAGGAGACCCTGCAGGCCGAGCTATCCGCGGTCTGGGAGGCCGCGCTCCTCCTCTTCTTCTCCGGCAGCGCCGGAGGAGTCTCCGTCGGCTGCGCTGCTCCCGTCGGGCTGCAGAACTCCAGCGGCGGAGAGCTGCCCTGGGGGAGCTGGAAAGTGTGTCCATGGAAAGGGGAACCAGACTCGCCCAAGGACTCTGGCAACGGGCTGAGGACACCGGGCACCTGCTGAGGTATCTGGTCAGCGTTGGAGAGGTCCTGCTGCAGGAACTCGTAGTCCGGATCATAGTGATCAGATTGATCTGGTTAAACACAGAAGACAGGGCAAACACGCATTAGGTTCTCTCTTCTACTGTTCAGCCCTTCTCAGTTCTGCCCCTCCTACTCCATCAGCTAATTTATTTATTCAGTTATTTAATCAGTTAATTTAATCACAGTGCCATTTCCTTGCAGCAGGGGCCATCTTGCTACACCTTCCGGAAAACTAAGATTAAAAAAATATATTTCTTCATATTGATAAGCAACTAACAAGAATTCAGACATTGGAGAGGTTACCAAACAATGCATTTATATTTTTATTTCCCAGCACCTAGAAACAGCACTGCTTTAGTCTAACAGGACTGACATGTTCTACTAACATCTACAGACAAGACTGAAATCAGCAAAACATCCAACTTGAAATCTGAACTGAATGTAAATACAACCATCTCTAGGGTACAGAAACAAATCCTCTTGGGCCTTTTCCTATCCAAGAGGATATAACCCTGCGGAACTGCCTGCAGTAGCTCCAGAAGAACAGCTGCAGGGAGGAGCCATTTACTTTCGTGTCACAGCTCTGTGCAAGCCCCACAACGGGGCGACGCGGGCTCGCTGGCCTGCACGAGCCCGGCTTACCTAACGTTTCACAGCTTGTGTTGCGGGAGCACTGGCCGCTGTCGCGGTCCAGGGAGGAGAGCTGCTCGTCCGACTTGCTGAGCTTGCCGATGCTGCTGCACGGCGAGAGGCGAGGGGATTCTCCCCCGTAGGAGTGGCTTCCACCCGACAACCGTCTCTGGGCATAGCAGTCAACATCAAAATCCTTAGGGGGGAAAAAAAAAATCCTTCTTCACAGCTTGCTAGCAAATTGATACAGCCAAAGGGAATGACACCTCACAGCTGTGCAAGGAAGGGAGCATCAGTGCTACCAGTTCTCTCCACTCAGACAAGCCCATCTGCACCCCAGAAAACATCTGATCTGGCGAAGGGCAGAAGACAGAGGCTGCTGAAAAGATGACTGACTTCTTCACTGCTATACACGTCCTAGAACTGCTTGTCATGACACTGATGGCAGTAATTACATTGCCAGATTTCTCATTAAATAACTGGCTTTGCTGAATATTTCATTAACTTATGTGTAAGCCAAGGGTAAATAAATTATAGTGAGATGCAGCTAATGGAAGCTTTTTATGTCTATGACTATGTTTTTATTTCAGAAATTCCCTCAAGTTCAACAACATGTGGGTGAACATCTCTCAAGTATTCCACTCCCACAAAGCAACGTGTGAGCATACGAGTTACTGACAAACTGTCCCAACTTTATTTGGATGGGCCAGTTGACAGCAGATGACCCCTAAGCCAGGGCCAAGAGCTTGGAAGTGAGGACAAGAGTTGATCTTGATGCACTGTCAATTGAGGTTCAAGTCCTCACTGCAGAGCTGAAAAGTTCCTATAAGCATAAAAGGATGTAAAAGGCATCACAGAAGAGCTCGTCGACACAAAGTTGTTTGGGAAGATCAGAGGCGTGTTGGGAACTGCACTGCTGCAGGTCACAGCATTCTCTGAGCTTTTGCTACCTTCTTCAACACGTTTCCCCTGGCTTTCACAGAGGGGTTATGACATTACCTGTCTGTTGATTCCCACAGGTAAACTGGACCCACTCGTGGCTCGACTCATGGGGGCCACCACCGCCACTCTGGTTGGGGAAGGTGCTGACTGCCGTTTTTTAGGGGGCAAGGCTGGAGGAGGGCTGCAAGACACAACAGGCATTCATAATTCTTGTGCTCTGTGAGCTAAAAAGGGATTTTTAAAGGCTTCATGAGAGGGAAAACGAGCTTCTGCCAGGCTCAACACTCACAGCTTCCTGTCTGGAGCCCACCATAAACCACTCAGTGTATTCACAAGCAAATAGCGATTTAAAAGTACTGAAAACCCTTACAGGAAAGGTGCTGTTCAACAGTCCTTTTTTAAAGCTGAGAAAAAGGTTGGTATTCCCCAAACAAAAATAATTGCTGTTTTAAAATTTGTTTTAATGAAGGTAATTAGCACAATAATTATTTTTAAATAAAAGTGGTCAAAGTCCAAATTAAATATTTTGGTTGACCCACAGATTGTTTCTCTTCACAGAAGTCTCTCCTCCCAAACCTCACACACTTGACAAATGCTCAAAGCTTCATAAATTCACAGGACACAAAAATGCTCTTTCTGCCCTTTTCCATTCCTGGCGAGTTTCAGAGAGACACGATGGTCATGAGGGCTCTCAACTCGCCTGCTGGCTGGGTGGGCCTATGCTTTGGCACAAACCCGTTTCAGATATGCACAAATCACGCACACATTATCGCTACCTAATGAGATTTTACCACTGAACATTAGTTTATGTTCCTAATGACACATAATTCTGGCATTCATCGAGCGTGTAAGGCTCCCAGGAGCACATATATTCTGTTTCTGGAACATACCAAGAAGTTTTTATATAACCCATGAGAATTCAAAAAATACATAGAAATGTGATTCTTTTTGCCAACCACAGCCCTCAATGCCACATTTCTAAACTATCACATGACTCACATTTTCACACCACCCCTTGCTAGAAAAGAAAAAAATATCATACACACAGACCAAAAAGCTGTAAGCAGGGGGTTTTCTCTTCCTTCTCAAAATAGAACATAGAAACTTTCATGTGGTTACGAGTATAGCAGAGTAAGAGCAACCGAGTAAAAGACTTCTTTTTTTTCATGCATCATTAAATCCTTTCACTCTTAAGCTGATAACCAATGCAAAACTAGCTGGACATGCAGGATGGACAGATAATCACCAGCTGACACTAACGTAACTTTTCCCACTGGATACAACAACAAGTGATGCAACAAAACAGCACAAGATAGTGTTGTATAATGTTTCATATAGCTTTAAATAAGGCTCTTAGGTGTTTTTGTGATGCTTCTCATTCAAGATTTTCAGGGCACTACACTGCCTTTGCATATAAAACAAAGAAAGGAAAAAAAGAGACAAAACTGCTCCAAATAAGGCAGAAAACAGGTTAAGTTGTATGTAAACAGATTTCCAGGGGAGGGGAAGAACAACTCTGAGACAGAGGAAGCTCAGAGCCACCACCATTTCCTACACGGAACCCTCCTGTGTGCACTTTGGCACTCTGTATAAAACATCAAGAAGCTGGTGAGGACCGTGATGTTTTTCAACCTGCTGCTTTGCCAGTGTTACCTGTTTTCTGCCACGCGAATGCAGGGCAGGGGGGGCTTTGGAGGTGCAACCTCTTCATCCATGGAGTCTGTCAGTAACTCGTTGGATTGAGTCATATTAGTTGTCTTGTTGAGGATCTCCATCTCTCGTTCCGTGAGGGGAAGTTCTGACGGGCTGCAAAGAGCAAAATTCAGAAGGTAGATGATAAAAACAACTTGAACACAGCATGCTGCCAATTTATAACAATTTTAACTCATATACAATGTGAGAGAAGCCTACAGCAGAATGCGGAATTCGCATCTGCAAGGACAATTCCATGTCTCTCCACAATACAATGTGCAAGTGTCATGGCCAAGTGACTTTTCATTGCCAGATTTTGGCATCTTTCCTATCACAGCACATTGTTCTCTTCAGGAGGTCTCACTGTAATCCATTAGGCCAAGTAAGAAGTACTATGCTAACCACCGTGAAAAATGATTGAATGTTTTAATTCAACCATCAGCAGTCAGAAATTATCCCCATGAAGCTATTGTATTAGGCTTGCATGCACAAGAAACATTGTCAGCAACCCACCTGTCAGATTTACATGCTGGTAAACTGGGTTTAGCTGGGCTTGTGGGAGAGGGATGTTCCTGCTTTTCAATCGTGAGTCTGACCAGTTCCTAGTGGAGGGAGAGGAGAGAAGAAAAAGCAAAGATTCAGTGTTTGCTCTGAGTTGGACACTAACATCACAGGTCAGACAGGGAGGCTACTGCAAAAACTCCCAGGTTACGGATTATCGATGACAAGGACACGGGGAGAGCTGAGCTGGGTATAAGCCAGGTAAAGAGCCATGCAAATGATGCTACACTGTTTCTAGCTGGACCCAGCAGTAGTTTAGTCATAGCTGAGTTAAATTCATCAAGACTGGCCCTGTGGGGATTTTGCAGAAAGCCACACACATGTTTTTTTGCTGCACTTGCCTGCTCTCCTACCCTCACAGATGTGTTCCAGTCCCCACAGTACTCTAGCTAAAGACAAATTGACTTTGCATACATAAATGTAAGTACAGAAACGCCCTGCACAATGAATGACTTCATCGCGCCAGTGAAAGTGTTAAATAATTGCTTGGTATTTTATAAACAAGCATTTATGTCCCGTACGTTTTGTCAAAAAGCAGGTTTACTGTAATGGGGGAACGAGATGGCCAACACCTTTATTAAAAAGCCTGTTTCCCTCGGGGCCATTTTTTAAACATGTTAGTGATGGAAGTCTTAATCATTCAGGCAACTACCGTAGTGTATCTGCTACAGGCAGATAAGACAGTGGATGAAGAGATAAGGGCATGATAATCCCGCACGACAAGTCTGCCAGCAGTCAAAACAACAAACACTCACGGCAGAAGGATGGAGAGAACATTTTATGGATGTCTGAGGCCAACAAAGAGATGCACTGCTCCCAGCTATAAACACAGGCCCTCTAAGAGCTGGGCTGGATACCTGGCAGGGCTTCCTCATGGTATCGCCTTCCCTGGGCCTTCGCAATGGATGCTTCATGGGAGCTTTATTATTTTTTTTTAAGCAGCCTGATGTACAGTGTCACCAGGCCAGTGACATCTTCACATTCAGGTCTACTGAGCTGGGAAGCAACTGCCGTTGTCCCTCCGAATGGAAGAACTGCAACTGGAGTCGTCAGCATCCTTCTGAGGTAGGGAAATATTCTCAGACGTTTACGGATGGAGTCAACCAAGAACACAACGGAACATGCAGCTGGAAAGCAGCAGGCCTGGAAAATCCCACCCGTGGGAAAGGAAGCGAGCGCACAAAGAGCCCACACGTCCATCTGGGCTAACGCCACAAAGAGGTTCCTGTGTGGGACAGAACAAGAACCCTCCTGAGGAACAGAGGGTTCTGCAAGAAGTGCCCCGATGCAAAAGCCCAGCGTAGAACTGACCACAACTGACCTCTCGTTTCATCTCCTGCCTTCAAACAGAGCTGGTCAAGTTTGTCCATGGGTAAATAACACCAGGAGCAGCAAGAGACCTATACAGGCTTGTAGCTACCTATAAATGGCACTGGGCATGCAGAGAAGTGAAACACTCCTCCATCAGGGAAGAACTAGAGGTTCTTCCTCTGGAGATGCAAACACTGAATCAACCTCAGCTTTCTCTGCTCAAACTCCCCAGCTCACCAGATGTTTCAAGAGAAGCTATTTTTAAAAAGTGCTTTCCTCCACACTCTGAAAGACTGCTGGCTTTCCTTCTGAGGCTAAAGAGGGTGTAATTTGGGGAAATCTCATACATGTGCTATTAAACTGAAAAACAAAGGAAGAGCTTCCAAAAGGAAGAAAAACTGGGAGCATCTTTGTTAAAAATAACATCTGTATGCCAAGTGTTCATACACACCCAGGGCAACTGGGTCCACAGGATGTATCATCTACTTTCCAAAACTTGCTTTGAAATTCCCCCATGAAACTTACAGAACGTCACGAGGAAAATCAGCTACAGCATCTGGGAGTCCACAATGACCAAACAAGGCTTTTCTGTAAATTCTATGATTTGGGAATCAAAGTGATATCATTTCACTCTTCCAGCTGCTGGCACCTTCTGCTCCAAGTTGCTGTCAGGAGCGCGAGGTGACACGATGGATTGTCACCCCCTGCCTTCTGGATAAAATACTGGGACTGAAGGGGCTGCTGGGGGGACTCTGGTACACTTCAACAGTCTGCATTGCACCCCAAAGGCCCATCCGCTACTCCTGAGCAATGCTTAAAAGTGGAGAAGGTGAGTTAAAATACAAAGCAAAAGCCCAAATGCTCCTGAGATGCCTCCCCTCTACTGGAAAGGGCGAGGGAAGGGAAAGGGCAAGTTCTGACAAATGCCACCACATTCCCTGGACCTCTGCTTTCTCCTCTCTGCAACAACGCCAAAATGAGAAACAGGGTTTGAAAAATCAAACCAAGATCTTCAGTGTGTGCACGGAGGTAATCAGTGCACAACTGCGCCAGATGCACATTATGCTGTTCCTTATCAGTGAGCAAAGAGATTCCTGCAGCAGTAATTACAGATAATTGGACCTCCTCTTTAAACTTGTGCTGCTTCAGCAAACTGGAAATTCCAAAAAGAGATGGATTTTTAAGAAGTTACATAATCAAAACAGGGATTGTTTTCCTTTATTTTTTCCTTCCTATAGATATATAGAGCAAGGCTCTAAAACCTGAGCCGAAAACAGCAAATACTACAGATGAATAAGTGCCTCCTTTCTGCTCAACTCCAAACCCAAGAAGGAAGCGAGCACTGAAATGTGGAAGCGGATCTTGTGTGATCTGCCAAAAGGCTCCGCGGGGCAGAGAAGTGTCCGATTTCTCAGTTCTGCTTCCAGATCTGAACACGGGCTCGGCCCTCCTAAAATAAAACCTGTCCCTCGCTCCGCGGCAGGAGGGGAGCCCGCGCCACGTCCCAACGCTGACGGGCAGACGCAGTCGGCCGCACATCTGCTCCGACCGTGCTCCGAGCTGAGCACGCAGAAGCCAGATCCAGCTGCAAGTCCAAAACAACCGTTAGTGCAAGGGGCAAAGGGGGCCGAAGCGGGTGTTTAAACATTGCTTGGAGTCACTGGGAAGCGAGTGACCAAACCCCCGCGATGAGACTGCACGCAGCTCTCCCCTCGAGCTGGTAATAAGGTAGTTTGTCACAGCACTGGATAGAGCCATTAAGTGCTATCCGAGTTAACTGGCTGGCTATTTACTGGGGTGTTACAGTGTAGATACCACAGGGGAGATTTTCTTGTGCTGCAAATTGCTGCTGAAGTCCAACACTAACAGCGCCTGAGACTTTACACTAAACTCTTCTTCTCCACCCTGCTGTGCAAATTTAATACCAGCTTTATGTTTCCAATCTGGAGCTTAAATTTAAAGGGCATATTGTGCAAAATAATCCTGGAAAATCTGACATCTTTAGATGATGAGGAAGTTTTTTTTCAAATATACTTCTTTAAAGGGCTTGAAAAATAATACTAGGATTTAGTACCTGTGTTTGAGTAACATTAAAGAGAGATGTCCAGAGCAGGCAAACTCCACACCAAGAATCCTGAAAACGTGATAACTGAAGCCTGGGGGATCCATTTCTGCTTAGCAGGCAGTTCAGGCAATAAAAACTAAGCCAGGTTTAGGTACAGTGAAAGATATCTGTCCATGATACACTAACCCAGTTGAACCACCTGCTGCTGCTCTTAAAAAAAAATCTACCCCAACTTTACTTCTGCACTCGATCTAATCATTCCTCTTTCGATTCAGTCCTGCTGTTTAAAGAAGCTTCAATTTCTCTACAGTTTACAAAATAAGGTTCCCAGGGGATATGGTGGCCTCTTTGCTGGTGCCTCAAGACCAGGTCTGACAAACTTTGAATTGCAGTGCTAGGACATCCCCGAATGCCTTCAGCAGAGGGAAAAGGCTTGGAAAACAGCGAGAAATACTGGTACCAAAAACTGATGGGGAGGTGGAAGGAAAGCCAATAGCTTTTTCCAGGTAAGGCAGGGAGGAACCATCTCAGGGATATGAAAGTTTCAGTTAAGCTTTTACACAGTTACATAAATCTCCAGAAAACTGAGCTTAGATCATCACCTGTCCCACCCCCTAATCTGATGGCTGGAAGTGGGCATGTTTTCCTGATGAATAACTTGAAATCTATGCTAAGAGAGGGGCTGGAATCTATGAGTCTCTGTGGGCATTGACAGGAATCATTTCCATTAAATTTTGTCTAGACAGAAAATATGCAAACTCTGACCTGTAATTTGCATGCAGAGTGGGAAAAGGCCTGCTGAAAATTTAATCTGCTGCTCAATAAAGATTTATTGCTTCCGGCAATCCCTCCAAAAGACAGGGTGAGCATTTCACAAGTGCACATTATTAGGCAAACCATTTGTGCTGGCCTTTAAGCAGTGCACCAAGCAGGTTCACTACACTCAGAGAGCAGCTGACTGAAGAGATCATTTATCAAAGGCAGGAACAGGATCTCTATATTTCACCTGCTCTTAAAAACCTCCAACTTTCGACCAAATTTCTTCTCGAACACATATATTATGTACCTCATATAATGCACAACATCCATCTTATGTACCTTGACTCCATCCAGAACAGCTTTAATGACCCCCTTAACTGTGGTCACCATCTCCTTGTCTTCCGAATTGACGCCCTCCAGCATCACCTGGTCGGACCAGCGGATGAGGTTGGCCAGGCTCTGGTACACCCGGCTGTAGCAGGACGAGATGGCAGAACTGCAGGGCAGAGGAACAAAGAGCTAAGAACCCCCCTACAAAACTAAAGAGATACCCAAAATTACAAAGGAGCGTATGATTTAAAGAGCACTTTAGATGATTAAAAATGATTAAGAATTTCACTGTATCCACTACTGTTCTCCTTTTGTTAACTCTGACATTTAGCATTTGTGTTAAGCAGGTGAGAAAATACGGGTGTCTTTGAGCACCAGAAGGAACTTTGTTACGAGAGTAAGTACCAGCAATGATTCATTCTCAGGTACCTAAAAATGAATTATCTGAGCTGCTTGTTGACAAAGCAATGCTAAAAAGAACACTCTCTCCCCTTTTAATTTACAGCCCCATCCCATGTCTTAACTTCAAGGGTAAATGCTTGATGTAAATATAATTTACATTACTTCAGTATTATCTGTGTTTTTCCTATTTCCTTATTATTCCATCCCCAAAATGACTGAGAAGTGACTGTATTCATTCATTTACAAATCATTTCCTCACTGTTTATAGTCCCTGAAAGCATGTAATTAAAACCTGTTTCTTTACAAAAAAAAAAAGAACTGAATGAATTTCAGGTTTGGAAGAGGAAGGGTATTGCTTTGTTTTATTTTAATGAGAAACAGAATTGAGCCTATTGTTCTGCAGGGGTAAAAAAGGGATCTTTTGGAAGGGTGACAACTCTAAATAGAAGTTAACTGTAACAACAGTGCTTACAGGCATTTTCCTGGCCATTCGGAAAACACTGACTTCATTACTAAACAAGGTGTGTTAACAGTACTGATGATGGCAAGGCTTCAAGAATTCTTTGTAAAGTTAAATCAAATTTCTAACTGCACCAAAACCATAAAAAAAGATAACAGAAGGTGTAATCTCTCAACCACTGCTGATATGAGTGTTCTGAATCTTCCTGTTTTTTTCTGGTACCCATTTTAAACTGGCTTAACTCCAATAGTTTCATTATCTGTGCGAAGAGAATCAAGCCCACAAACTTCAATGAGGCTCTTTAGGTGAATGAAGTTTGATGAATTGGGGAAAGGACTATTGTCAAGTTACAAACAAAGGGATAAAAAAAATGCCACTGTTTGTTAGTGTGATGCTTGTCATTTGTTCTAATTTCAAATGAAATTAGTTTGGTAGGAGATATTTCCTAAATTGGGCCCTCCCCAATCTCCTTCCTTCTAAGGCTTTGATTTCTTTGTCATTAATCGTCAGTCTGCTTCCTTCCAAGGAGGCAGTAATTGAAAGCCCATTTTGTGCTAGATTTAATTACTTCTTTCCTTGATGCAAATGCTTCCCCTAAAGCAAAGAGCAGTCCAGCAACAACTGCTGGGCTCTCTTCCACGCTGACACAAGTCCTGCTTGCTTTTCTCGAGGGGGATTTTCCCCCAGAACTGCCCCTCTGCATCCTGCCACTACTGAAAAGGAATAAGAGACATTAGTAGGCATGGAAGGACACGGCTTCTGAGAATGCCAAGCCCCCATTTTAGGTGTGAGGCTAAACAAGGCTGAAAATACACGTGGGGTTTGGGCTGTAACACGAACTGACTCCAGAGAGCCAGCCTCATCACCCAGTGCAGAGCACTGCGCTGACTACCAGCTATGAAAATTCTGCCTACAGGCTAAATATGGGTATCCAACTGCTAAGGTTATGGTATCTCACTCCTAAGAAGAGGTTATAAGGAATCTGAAGGATAGGACTTTATGAAATACTGCTGCTTGGGAAGACAGCTTAGCTGATCCTTGTTTCCAAATATATTCTGGAAGGAAAGATCACTGAGTAAACAGCCAGTGGATACACAAATCAAAGCAAGTGACTACACGGAAGATGACACATTCTATCCCAAAATGCTTGCTGACATTTTATATGTTCTCCTGATGTGAGTAAGGGGAAAGTTCATTTTTCCTTTCATTAAGTGAAAGCAGGTGCTTTAACGGCTGTGGGAAGCGTGGGAGCAACTGAAGAAACTTCAGAGTCTGCATCTAGAGCCTGATGAATGTTCCAGGTCCAGCAGTTACTGCTCTTTGTAGTTCTCCAATGTCCACAGCTCCCTCCTGGCGCAGCCACAGCGCTGATATCAGCCGGTGTCTCCTGCTTTTGCATGGTCAGACACGAGCCTGCCCTGTGCATTAGGGCCAAGCAGAGCTAAGCGTCCCCATTCACAAAACGTTTGGCACTCGAGAGCTCTCTTTCCATATCATAAACCATCCTTGCACCTGAGTTGAAATGGATATCCTGTATTTTTTTTTGAAATATTTGATGGAAAAAAGCAAACAGAACAGTGCAAAACTGGCAGGATTTCAGGAAGCAAACACCTGCATTTCCCTGACTATTTTTGTGCTTTTATTTTGCTCACTCCATATTACTTAACAATGTTTTCTTGCTTTGTTTAAATTAATTGCTCCAAAATCTATGAGATCAACAGCATCTATATTCCTGTGGCTTGATGACTCCATAGATTGTTATCCATAGTGAGCTAATGGCTTTGGCAAATTTCTAGATCTTTTCTGGCTTCTGACTTGCATCTAACCAGTTAAGACATAATACACTAGGTATCAGAGCTAACCTATAAATAATCTGCAGAGAGGCACAGGAATGAACCTGGGGCGGTTAATCTACTGAAGTACATCTGTTTACCTCTGTTCTGTATTCGCTCCACCGAAATCCAAAACAGCAGTTCACAATGTAGGCTAAGTCTTCTCTAATATCAGGATGGATAAACTGAACACAGAAAGGGATTACCTTGAAGATAAGCTCTTCTTTAGGTAAAAGCTATTGGACTTTGTTAGCTTTAGGATACCATCATAAACCATAGAAATAGTATTCCATTCGAGGAAAATCTCCTGCTAGTAAATGATGAATTTCCAGGCTTGAATCAATCCTTCCTTCTCTCTGAAACCACTCTGCTTTGCTTTATCTTTCCTTAGCACTGGCTGCTTTGCAGCAGGCAATTTGCTTTTAAATCATGTTTGAAAACTATCACATAATTGGTAAGAACAGCAGTCATTTTATTAGCAACTGCAGCATTTCCTGCCTCCTGGGGGATCTGAATGTCAGATACAAGAAAGAAGGGAAAGCTGGGGGGCCTGCTGGCCCGTCCCGGCCCCGGGCAGGGACACCCACCTTTGCTGCATGCGCGGATCCGCCTGCACCAGGGGCAGGATGGCCTCCAGCACTTTGCTTGCTGAGCCTGGCAGCATCTCCAGCACCTCCTTATCCACTGCCATCTTGTCCACGATAGTCTTGAAGTAGCGCAGGGCACTTACGACCTCCTTCTCCTTCTCCTCTAGCCATGACACGTTCTGAAGAGGAGGAAAAGGGGGGAGAAAAGTTAAAAGCTTCAGGACTTTGTTTTGTAAGGGCAAGGTTATTTCAACTTACCTGAGGTACGGTGAAACCGAATGGGATATATTGAAGAATGGGAAAAAACCCTTCTACCACAAACACTTTCACATTTAATTATTATTCATTCAATGGAACAAGCAGTGCAGAACTGCACCCACATTTAACTTTCTGAATTACAAAACGTACACTCCAAACTTGCCCATGACTGATGACTGAAAGGGCCCCCTATTTCCATTTTGTGAGGCTGTTGCAACAAGGGAGCACACACACACTTTCCATGGGGACACACCATGAACACTAAATTTTGGCATTAGGGAATAACGTTGAAGAAGGGAACAGTTCCTTGGACTGAAGCTGAGTTGTGGTCACCACCTCCCAGGCCATCACCAGCACTAGAAAAGGAAATTCAGAAGTGACACACGATACCTTAATGGGTACCTCAGCAGGGGTATTTTAAAAAAGTTTTACAGAGTATGCCTGGAGGTCTTCTAATGCCACAAGCAGTTCCTAAGTGAGATTTAAATTAACTCCTGAACACTGCTAGAAAAGGAGCAGAGAGCTGAGCAGAGTCAGGTTTCATCCATTATCTCTTCAGTAAATTCAGCTTCAAGAATTAATGACCTATGGGCATTGTGCACTCCCCGCACTCCTGTCAGCTGTTAAAACTGCTGCTTTTCTGCAAAATCAGGCCAAGAGCCCAAAAGGTTTTAGGAAGAACAATTTATAGGCAGCACTGGTTAGTAATCTGGGGCCAGTTCATAAAAGGCTTAGAGTCCCAAGTCCCAACTAGCTCCCACTTGAGAAGCCTCAGTCCATAACTGATATCCACAAGCACCACGTAGGACATGGCCCTTTTTTCATAATCTGCATCTCAGCATATTTTGGGTAACAAGCCCTTAAGTGTATTTTTTATGAATCCCTTTTCGTGGCCCCCAGGGCCTCATATAAGTGTGTGCAAACATACATCCCCCCCACACACAGCCTACCTATCCTACAGAGGGTTGTGTCTTCTGCTGCAGAGCTCGGATATATAAATGTTAGTTTTGCTACGAGGCTGAAATTTCTGGTGTTCAGTGCTTTACTCATTGAGACCCAAGAATAACAGCAATAAAGCTGGAGAAGGGGATAATAATCTTGTAGGATGGATGGATATTAACATACTCCAATGCCTAAATCTCACAAGGCTGATGTTATTAATCCACCAAAAATGTTAGTGTGTCCCTACAGCCAAAGTAAACATGCAGTGGTACCTCTCTGGGTTGGCAGACAGGATTTGAACTGTTCTCTCATTCCATTTCTTAATAGAGGTGAATTTGCCCCAGTAGTGAGTTTATCCCAGATCTATAACTGCGGGACTTACTAAAGCAGCAGTACCACTCAATCCAGCAAGAACCCTTTGGGGCTCTCAATGAGACAGATTTAACACTCAGAGAAAGCAGCATCTCTTCTCCACTCTCTGGCCTGTCGGATACATAAGGATATTTTTGCATGACTTTGGAATATTTCCTTTAAATCATCATTTCAAATGCATCCTGTATGAGATGCAGATGACCAAGAAGAATTACAATGAGCTGTACAGCTCACTACAAAAGCTGGAACAGCCCATTTTTACTTATTATAACTTTGCCTATAGTGATGAAGGACATCACTGTTCCTACAACATGCCCTCAGATGACAGCCAAAGACAGGGACCACTGGAAAATAAGGAGGTGCTGAAAAAAGCTCCCTCTATGTTGCCCACAGCTAGGTATACATGTGTGCACGGGCACATGTGTTTTGGGCATAACTATCAGGTTATATTTAGTGAGTTTACTTAAATTTTTGTATTGCTTTTTCAGCTCTATACTGCTCATCTTATCAGTCATTCCTCTTACACTGTTTTCTAAAGGGGGAAAAAAGGAAAAAATTTACCTTTTATTGACTTGGTAATATATATTTGCTATAGAGTAGCATTTTAAAAGCACTCTTCATTTTCTAATTTATTTGTGGTCAATGCATCAACCGAAAGGAAGGACCACTGCACTGGCTACATGCATTTCAGTGAACCAATCAATAAAGATAATATTGTGAGAAAACCTTCCAGGTTAATGGTCTGAGGGATTGCAGAAAGAATGGGAAAAGGTTCTACAATATATGCCTTTGAATCAAACACAACGTATCATCCTCAAACACCCTGGGAATATTAAGTCTTCAAGGTGTATTCTTACTGGTCTGTTCTAGGGGGACAGAAGTCTGGCATATGTGTGGGGCAATGCAAGATGCTCACCTTGCCAGGAGCATATCCTTTCCTTCTGGGAAAAAAAACTCCAGCCTGGGAAATAAAAGCCTCAGCATCTTCCACACAGTAGTTCTGAGTAGGGTCAGAAGCCCAACAACCACCTCTACGTGGAGGACATCAGGCAGTATCAGATAACTGTATCTTCCCGACTGCTCTCGGTGACACTACCACGATCCTCAGCAGAGATAATCTATAAAGGTCCCTATGTCTGTCACTGTATATTGCATGAGTCCTCCAACAACAACTGGGAAAGCTTCTAAATTATCATAAATAACCTCAACTCTTCGTGACTTTTGGCTCATATTTATCCTTGAAACTTGAGTGCAACAACACTGATAGAGTGATAGAGAGATGGTCTCCTGCCTGCATAATCAGGTTACGAGGAGAGGAGATAACCCTTCAAAACTTGAGTGCAACAACACTGATAGAGAGATGGTCTCCTCCCTGCATAATCAGGTTACAAGAAGAGGAGATAACCCTTCGACAGGGCTGTGTTGGGAAAGTTTAGTGACCTCAGTTCTTGCGGGCTCGGAACAGGCACGTTAGATGTGAGGAAGGGAGCGTGGACGCAGCAGCTGCTTCGAGACATCCGAGTGACTCTCCCTGCTGAGGTCACCAGAGATTGAGCACATCTTTGGACCCGTGTCAAGGATGTGCTGGGCTGTGTTTTGAGATTTTTCTGTTTTAAAGGCTCACACCCCAAAACCTGGCAGTTTTTTGGAAGACCTAAGCATAACTATAGGGTGTGCACGTGGGGAGGATATGTCAGGCCATAAGCCACATTCCCAAATGAGATATTTAAATGCTTATGGAAAGAGGTCTCATCAGGGTCTCAAAGGATAGTACTCGCCTCAGTTACTCTTATTTTATACTGCATAGTGCAATTTAAAACAAATCCTATGTATGTTTTTTCCATACAGTAACCCCAAAGATCCTTGACAAACCTGCAGGACTCTGCAGAGGACAAAAAGCCACACACAGAGAGCAGGGCTGCAGTTTTGATAAACAGGGGGTCCAGCAAGCAAGAAAACAGAAAAATAACAACACGTCCTTTGCTTACTTTGTTTGCTGACTTCTCTGGCGTTTTCACTGTCAGCTCAACTTGCTTTCCTTTCTTCGAAGGCGTCCTCTTTATTTTCGGTGAATGAAACTTGCCCTTCAACTTCATAGTGAATGAGGAGAGATGGGAACGCTCAGAATCTAGAAAGACACAGAAATGCGTTACGAGATTGAGGAAAATTTCTTGAAACCCGGGAAACTCTGCTACAGTATTATGTGGGAGACTAACCCGCGAAAAACTTTGCAACCATGTAAAGTCATTAAGTGGAACAGGATAAAAAATTGTGGTTACTCTGTTTCCAGTCATGGTGTCACCATCAGTTCCTGCTGCCCCTCGGAGGCAGCAGCTCTGAGGCGCAGAGGCAGGAGCAGTGGGGTTGCCATTGGGCACGAAGGGGAAAGCAGCTCTCAAAAGGACTCATCTTCGGCAGATCCCAAAGTACTTTACAAAGGAGGTGACCGTCATCTCTCTTTTACAATGCAGAAACTAAGTCAAGGGGATGAAGTGCCTGGTTCACAAACCTCTGGACTGTCCGCGATCCTGCCCCGTGCCCTAGCTGAGGGCCAAGAGCCCTGGCTGGGGTGCACAGGGTCCCTTGTGGTGGCAGCAGTGGTGGCACCAGCATCTGCAGCACCTCGAGAGGCACCAGCTGGTTCCAAATTCTGAGTTTCGCAGTGTTCCCTTGCAGAGGGACACGAGCATGACCGAAAGCAACACCCTGATGTCCCCAGGGCCACCACGCGGAAGCCCCTGGTAGATTCAGCCTCTGCTTCAGGAAAAGGCAGCGCAGCCCAACAACCCGCCCGCTGGCACAAGCACTACCCCTACCCCCTGCCTTCCAACGGGCTCCGTGGATAACGTGAACAAACCCATGAGCCCTCGCGCCTGCAGCCACTCCAGATCACACCGAGCAGGACACGGCACCCGAACGGGAGGAAAACTCCAACGGCGGCGCCTTCCCGAAGGAACTTAATTACAGAACCGCGGAACACGGGAGCCCGTTGCGAAAAATCGCAGTTATTTCCAAGTTCTTTGGATATCTATAAAGAGAAATCTCAAAGGTCTGCAGTCATGCCACATGCAGACTTACTGCTGAGAGATATTTTTATCTGTTTAGCCATGAGGCTAAATAAAACTAAGCTACCTTGTAGAGAGCAATTTAGAATGTATTTTAAGCAAACAGCACTTTAATAAATGAAGGTCTGGATTGCTCTCTAGTGACCCAGATAATTCAGCAGCAGACACTGAACTTGTCTTTAAGCACATTATCAAGAAAAGCAAGTACTCTTGCTCTATCTTTCATTTTCTTCTCTTTCGGGTTATTTGGGAACTGACTGCATTGGCTGCAGTGAGTCAAAGCAAGCCAGGCTGATGCATGCAGCACTGCACCACCTTGTTAGCATGCAGGCTGCAAATAGAAAAGGCTGCTGAGTCAAATCTAGCACCCAGAAGCGAAATACCACACTGCAGCGCTAAAACTGCTCATCATACTCAGAAATTACCTAACCACAACTCAAGGGAAGAAGCCTCCCCTTCAGGGCTATCTCCCTTTAAACCTCGTTTCCTGGTAGAGTGTTAAAACCCTATTAATACCTTCACTGGAGCCAAAACTCCAATTAGCTAGGTCCTCTAGATAAACAGTTTGCAGATATCCTGTTAATGCAAACTGCATCAGTGCTGATTACCATCTAGCCCGGCTGCAGAGCTCTTCTCCATTTCAAGTGATTCTCAAAGTTCTCTTTGTATCGTCAAGTCCTGCTTAACGCAGAGGAGGGAGGCCCGAACGAGCTTCGGTTGCTGCAGATAAGTCCAGACGTATCAACTGGCCCCTGAGGAATCACTTGGAGCAGCTGGCACCCCAACTTAGCAGCAATTTACGTCACTGCTTTACAAACCCCAGGATCTCCAAACCTTGAAAGCCTCCCCGGCTCCGCAGTGCTCAAGGTCAGCACCAAACACAGCTCCTGGCTGCGGCGATAGCTGCTCTCGCCCTCCGTGTAACAGATCTGTATTTATTTTGTACATTGTAGGGGAATTTCTATACATGCACCATGTGAACACTTGCCAACAGAGTCATGGCTAGGAATTTATTTTTAAGAGAACTGGCAAACAATTACAGTAATTAATGTACAGAGAAATAACGGTTGCAACAACAAATCGCGTCTGGCTCCTCCACGGGCAGCAGCGCTTTCAACTGCTGGTCTGAATACGACAACATTCGGTTCCCCTAAAACTCCTGGCGCTTGGGGTGATGATTTTGCATTGTAGGGACAAGACATTTGGAAGGGAGAAAATTTTCCAAAGACTGCAATTTCCATTTCTCCTTCCCACCAGATATCTCTACCCACCCTTATTGGGCAACCACATAAACAGTTGAATCAGTGAATGAGAAACCTCCGAAACAGTGGAGAAAGTTGCTGTTCTGCAGACAGCAGATGCCCCTGGCCATGGCCTGGCCCTCCCTTCACCCTTCTGCTACCTCGGGCATCGAATCACCTGCACGGCCACGCGTGGAGGGGACAGAAACCCAAGGAGCGAGGACAGGAGCGGTGGCTGGAGCAGAACGGCGCCTTCTTTAACTAGCACTGATGAAGCAAACCAGCTGACAGGCAAAATTAATAAATGGTTTAACAGCCCTGCTAGGTCCTGCTTTGAAGATAACACATTAAAGCAGCTTTTTACTACCATGTCTTTCCATCTATAACAAGCATTTTCCAGATCTCATCTGCTCGCAAGCTTCTGATGCATTTGTAGTTAAACAAATGAGTCACAAACTGATATTCTCTTACGCGCAATTACACTTCACACTTAAAATAGCACTCTTGGTGTTCCAAGCACATTACAAATCTCTCTCTCATCCTCACCCAGCTAGGTCTTAACCCTATTTTGCAGATGGGAAGCGTGCACAAAGGTGAAGCAGCTTGTCTGAACGCTGCACCGCGTGAGTCAGTAGTTCCAGGACAGAGCCTCTCCGTTTCCAAACATAAAATCAAACTGCAGGAGCTCGTCTCCCTCCTCGAGCCCATGAATCAAGCTGGGGAGCTACTGTGATTAGAGCCACTGAAGAGCTACAGCCACTGTTCTGCATTACAGGCGCTACAGAACCTACATTCTAAGGGATCTGGATGAAGTGATACAAAAGACAAGTGACACTTAGATAGGAAGCTCCAAGGAAGAAGTGACCTAAGCTTAGGAAGACCAAAAGTCTAGCAAAAGGCCCAGCTCTGCAAGACTTGGATTGGTTATGGCACCGTGGGTGGCTTCCAGAAACTCCTTTTCTTTCCACCGTATCCTACTGCAATGTTTAACACACCCTATGGCTGTCCAGCAACCAAGTTCAAACACAGCAGCAAACCTCTGGAGATGAAAGAGTTTGACAGCGTACACAGAGAAACCAAAAACAGAGCCATGACACTGTTCAAAACACTGTCCCTCTGCATTTTCCTGCCTTTCTGCAGGAACCAAATCCTTCATGCGGCACCGAGGTTGCCTCCGAGCTTGGTAGTTCACCCATTTGCAAGTGCTCTATCGCATTACTCCTGCCTCTTGCTGATGAATAACAGGCAGGGCTTAACTGAAATCCCAGCCCTGACCTTCCAACCTTCCCTTTTTTTCCTTTCTGGCGCACAGCAGCAGGGTACCTAGTAGTTACTCTTAAAGAGCATCCAAATATTCACAAGACAAATGGGAAGAGACAGGGTAATAAACCGGATGGAACAATTTCAGCTGGAAGGAGGGGAGGGGGGAAAGAAAGATACTGTTGTATCAAAGGGTTTGTGTCTCAAAGGAACTGCTGACTTTCCATCCCCTCATTTTTCATCTGTCTGGATGCTTTGCTGCTACACATGTACTGGAAAAGAAGAAAACACTTCAGAATTACTTCACTTGGATTTGGCTTTTTTGGTTTCTGAGAGGAAGGTTCAACACGTCCCCCGTTTCAGTGCTAATTCCCCACCATTGCCAAGGCTCCTGCTCTGCTGAGCGTGAACGGGCTCCGGCCGCGGTGCCAGGGCCTCGCGCGGCGCGGAAGCTCCTCGGCGCCACGTCCTGACCGCCCGCACAACCGCAGAGGGTGACGCTGCCGGGGGGCTCCGAGCGCGTCCGCGGCGTGTTGGGGACACCCCGTTGGTCAAGGGTTGGCCCTGCACCGCGGCGGGGAAGGCCACGGCCGCAGGGAGCCACCATGTCGCACGGGACGTGGCGCCGTTGAGGGGGGCAAGGTCGGGCCACCCAACACTTTGCTGAGCTCAATCTGAGGAGGAAAGAACTATGGTGGGTTAGGGGGCAAAAGGGAAGGGTGATGAATCAGCTTATGTGCCTGTGTGTGAAGAAGGCAGACGGCTTAGGAGAAAGCCAACAAGTCAAAACCCCGTGTCTGTAATGTCACTGAAGAGTAAAATGGTCCTTTTCTACTTGGGCTCCAATGAACACCAGAAATGAAGGCAAAAGGCAGACGCGCTGGTGAATTCCACCACGCTAACGCAGCCGCATATTATTTACCCTAAGTCAAAGTGAAAGCTAAACATTTTACAGAGCTCAGTCACTACAGATTTTCCAGCTACCAGCTCCTCCTCAGCAGGCCATCACCCACACACGCTGAGTAATGCCCTGCCAGGAGATGTGCTGAGGAGTTTCAGAGAACCGATGAGAAAGAAAAACCCCTCTTCTGCTTCTGGACTTTTTTGTGATGTTCTCGCTGCTGCGGCACAGCCCAGTGACAGGGCCGTCCCAAAGCGGGGATGTAAAACTGCAGCGTTCAACCAGCCCTCTGTTCGGAAAAAGCACAAAACACACTTTCTTTCTCCTTAAACTTTTGATTAAGATAAACCTTTTCCATCCCTCAGCTGAAAATCTAAACCCTTCATCTTCTCTCATGCTGTATCTGTTCACACACAGAAGCCCAGTTGCTTTACAGTAGATAAAGCCTTAGAAAAAGGGTTAAGGCTTTTTTTTTTTTTTCTTTCAGTTTGAACTGATTCTTGAGGCTCATTAGAAAGAATGAAATGGATTCTAAAAATCTTATCCCACAAACGCTTCTCTTTTCAAAGGCCATTTGGCTCTCTGCTGGATGCACATATTTAAAAGCTATCAGATTAAAAATAACAGAGGACATCTCTCCCCATGCCATAATGAAGC